CCACCCATATTGGGCAAAAGTCGCCCTAGGGCAGACGCAGCGCCGACCAGCTTTGGAGCAAGCTGTCGGAAGTGCTCGTCGAAGAGCCACCTCCCGTCGAGGATCAGGCCCAGATATTTCATCTGGGCCCGAACCGGTATGAGGACCGAGTTGACCACGATTGAGGCGCCAGGGGGTGGACCACGACGGGGCCCATGGAATAACAGGGCCTCCGTCTTATCTAGGGCCACCCGTAAGCCCAGCGCCTCAATGCGCCCGACCACCAGGGAGACTCCCCCTGTGGCCAGGCGCGCCGCCTCTTGGAAGTTTGCCCCCCGGGCTGTCACGAGGGTATCGTCTGCGTAACAGATTACACCCAGCCCGGGGGGGAAATCAGCGCGAAGGGCCCAGTCGTACCCTATGTTCCACAAGAGGGGTCCAAGAACAGACCCCTGTGGAACACCGCACGACATGGGCCGACACCTCAGATTACCTTCTCGGTCCTCGTACACGACGGTACGCTCCTCTAAATAGTCTGCCACTAGCCGCCTCAGGTACTTTGGCACCCCATGATAGTGGAGTGCTTCCCTGATGCAGCTGAATGGCAGACTATTGAATGCGTTGGCGATGTCCAATGACACCGCCAACAGCACGCCGCCACAGCTCACGGCCTCTTCGGTCACGGCCCTCAGGCGCAACACGGCGTCGACTGTCGAACGCCCCGCCCGAAAACCAAATTGGGCGTCCGACAGATCGGGGCCCACCTCGCAGAGGTGCCGGACGATGCGGGCAGAAAGAACCCTCTCAAACAATTTGCCCGCCTCGTCCAGCAGCACGATGGGCCTATAGGCCGCGACCGAATCGGCTGGCCGTCCCGGCTTCCTCAACAGGACCAGCTTCCCGCTTTTCCAGCACTCAGGGAAGCGTCCCGACGCCAAGCTAGCGTCGAACACCTCCCCGAGGCGGTCTGCCATGTGGTTGAGAGCCAGGGCCAGCACTCGGGCCGGTACCCCGTCTGGCCCAGGGGCGGTGTTCTTGGAACGGATCCGTAGAACAGCCGCCCCTACCTCCGAATCCCGGACGGGCGGAACATTGTCCTCCCCGTGCTCCCCGTCGTCTCCGGCCAGGGAGGCCATCGACGGGGGAGTGTGTTCCGCTCGTTGTGGGAAAAGGCCCTCAACCACTTCTTGCAGGAAGCTGGGCTGGAGAGTCTCCGTAAGGGGGGGGCCCGACGCGCGGAGCTTTTGTCGCACCGCGCGGTAAGGGCGACCCCAGGGGTCACGATTAAGACCCTCCAGCATCTCCTGTCTTTTTTCCTCTTTGGCGCGGCTAATGGCCAGCTTCAGAGTTTTCCGCGCCCGTCGGTACTCCTCATGAAGCCGGTCCTCCTCACCGTCTCCACGGTGACGCCGCCGACTGCGTGTGTAGGACCTCCGGGCACGTGTACAGGCCGCACGGAGGTCCGCCAGCTCCTGGGACCACCAGTAGACCTCCTTCCTTGGAGGCCGACGACCTCGAACGCGGGGCATGGCCGCATCGCAGATATGCGTAATCGCATCGCGAAAGCGGCCAGCCCCCACGTCGACCTCCTCGGTCGGAGCCTGAGGAGACAGCCACGAGTGAATTATGGCTGCCTCCTCTAGTAGGTCCCGATTCAGCCTGGCAACAGCCCACCGCGGAAAGCGGGATACACGCCGCAAGATTTCAGTAATCCTTAAGTTAACTCATAAAGGGTTAAAATTTCTAAGAAATGAAGATCGATAAGGTTAATAGCCATTAACGCACTAACCAATTCTATTCAATTCTAACTACCTTAACATAAACAAATGACCCTTTATTGTGCAATTTAGATAACGTCCGTTAAGCTCTTTACCACCTAGTAATGAGAGTACCTGAATAGCATCCCCACTTAACCACCACTCGCAGTCACCTATATAATGAAGGTCTAGTTCATTTTTAAATTATTCCGCCCACAGTAGTTTTGGGAAGAAGTAATTTTTTTTTGAATTCGCAAATATGAACACCTGCATAGCAAAAACAGTATTCCGTTGTGGTCAGTGTCTGATGACATTTTCAGACTACACAATATTGTTAGCACACCTATATTGGCGCCATGGTACTGAGAGTACCAGCTGCAGTAGGTGTCCCGTAAAACAGTGGAACTTTGCTGTCCACAAGTGCCACGTGCTGCCAGTAGAGTGGAAGGAGGAACACTTTGAAGACGACGAAGATACAAGATCCTATGAGTACTGCTACTGCGGAGTGTACGTCTCAGATGCACCTATGATAGGGTGCGATGCGGCGAACTGCCCGTGGAAGTGGTACCATTTCTCCTGCGTCGGCATTTCTACGGCACCGGACGGGAACTGGTATTGTCCTTCATGCAAGAAATCTTAACATCAATTAGGTAAATATTTGGTTTTTAACTTTAATTTAAAGTAGCCAGTGTTCCACCTCTTATCAATAGGTATTTCATTAATAGTCTTTACTGATCGTCTTAAATTAAAATGTCATGTTTGTTCATACATAATTGTAGGTTAAAAATTTATATTTATATTTTACCAAAAGTGCTCCACGTTGGGTCCTAATTAGTAAAAGGAAACATTTTTATGGTGATGATGTTTAGAAGAATATAAATTCAGGTTTTAATTTTTGAAATAGTCTATTGTCGTAAGGCAAACCAACTAAAATTTTTATTATTGGTTCTAATACAAAATGTTTTGTTTTCAAAACAGTGCATGCAAGGGGACGCTTCTGAACTCAAGATATAAATCTCCCGTAAAACAGCGGAACTCTGCTGTCCACAAGTGCCACGTGCTGCCAGTAGAGTGGACGGAGGAACACTTTGAAGACGACGAAGATACAAGATCGTATCAGTACTGCTACTGCGGAGTATACGTCTCAGATGCACCTATGATAGGGTGCGATGCGGCGAACTGCCCGTGGAAGTGGTACCATTTCTCCTGCGTCGGCATTTCTACGGCACCGGACGGGAACTGGTATTGTCCTTCATGCAAGAAATCTTAACATCAATTAGGTAAATATTTGGTTTTTAACTTTAATTTAAAGTAGCCAGTGTTCCACCCCTTATCAATAGGCATTTCCTCCCAAATTAAAATGTCATGTTTGATCATACATAATTGTAGAAATTCAAAATTTATATTTATATTTTACTATTTATATTTATTTGTCTTAAGGCATACCTACCTACTAAGCTTTTTATTTTTGGTTCTAATACAAAATGTTTTGTTTTCAAAACAGTGCATGCAACTGGACGCTTCTGAACTGAAGATATGAATCTCACCGCTCAGCCGCCACTCAGGAGATCTACGTATTTCTCCATCGTTGTTGTTTAACACGAACGCCGCAAGCTCCGGCCTTTGGACGCTCTATTTCAGCGGGCACTCACACTTCACTGTAATATATACACCTTGTACATATAAATTGTAAAAACATACATATGCTAGGTTCAATTAGGTTTAGTGGTTTGTAGCTATACGTAACAAAGTACATAAATTATAAAATATTTAGACTTTTAAGTTACTGACTTGTGCCATGTTCTTGACCATAAATCATTATTGTAAAAATATTTAATATTTTATGCTAATTAGTATTTAGTGTCAATAAAGATGTAAGAAATTATAAGATTGAATTTTAATTCACTTTGCATACACAATTTAGTACTTCACTATAATTTTCGTATAACATACAACTGGTAAAGTTGGTGTCCCCCTCCCTCTGCCATTACCATCATCATTATCATTTTCACTTTCACATTCATACTCTTTCTTGTTTCTCGTACGCACCTCATTTCAATTCTGACAAACATTTATAAAATAAAACGTCATGTGAGACGGATGTTTCAAGTGGAAAAATCGATAATTCAGATTATTCATACTAGCTCTACACCGTACGTGCACCGAGCTATAAATTCGCTGTCAATAATATTATTATTGTTGCGTTAACTAACTTGTGTGTACCATATTAATCTATAGCTGTTGTCTATCTTCATTCTTGTTTCGCCTTTTTTAAATCTTTGCACATATCCACATTGAGATTATAAATTAAAAATTAAATAATAGGTCTTTACCTATGAAATTGCCGTTTTTTATGCAATAAGTGAAAGTACTTATTTTTTCAAACTTTTTTATTTCTGTTATTCGAAGTAATCACCCATGCAATCGACGCATCTTTGTCAACGCATTGGCAGTTTATTGATGCCCTTCTTGTAAAAATCAGCTGGACGGGAGGCAACAAACTCTTCAAAGGCATTTTGTACTGCCTCTCGGGAATTGAATTTTTTACCGACTAAAAAGTTGTTTAATTTTGGAAAAAGAAATAGACGGTAGGTGCAAGGTCTGGTGGTCACATCTGCAACCAGCTTTGGTCAATCGGTCGTCCCCACTGCTCCTTCACGACAACGCGCGACCCCATACTGCGCAACAGACAGTCTCCAAGCTGCAAGAGCTGGGGTTGGAAGCTCTCTCTCATCCGCCATACTCACCAGACCTTGCACCTACCGACTATTACTTTTGGTCTCTTCTATTTAACTAACATTTGGTCTCTTTATTTTACAGTAGTTTCCAAAGATCGTACTTGAAGAAACTATGATCGTACTTTTTGCGTTTCATGTATGTTTGTAAAGTCCACTGCGACACAGGATACATTACTAGTGAGGAGGTTGTCTTTAAAACAAACTATAATAAAAAATAATATAATATGACATGACATTTGTCTTGTCGCCGGCGAGGTATAGTCCTACCAACTTAACTGTGAAATGGCAAAAATTGGAACTACGGCCGTCATGTTGAAATGTCATTCGATTGTCAGTTTCTACTACATTCGGGTTCTCTGGTTGTTTTGTCGTGATATTGCTGAATTTATTAAGTTAAATATGCCGAAAGCTATTAAAAGTGATGCTCGAAACATTATTCTAAAGGTTAAAACCTTTTTTGAAGAAGAAGCTCGGGCGGGGTCTCCGATTATTCCATTTAATCAAATATACAAACGAATTTCGGCAGCGACAGGTTAGTGTTGTCAACTTTCTTGTTATAAATTACCCGGTACTTAACTAATTATTTAAGTCCACGAAATATTCGTTTCTATTCTTGCTGCAGGTTAGCGTAACGGTAACGTACATCTATTAGGTAACCCGATAAGTGAGTGAGCCGACTAACCTGCCAGATTTCAAATTTCTACTAACATTTATTTTGTTATCTTATATTTCAGGTGTGAGTCAAGGACTAATTTCAAAAATAGTTAAGGAAGAGCATGCAGCAGAAGAAACTGGTACAAAAATTCGGACACCAGGCAAGGAGAGAAAACGTAAAAGTGGATTTGTGCAAGTTGATGATTTTAACATGGGAGTTATACGGAGGAAAGTACATGAATTTTATTCTGCCAAAAAAGAGGTCCCTACTGTTAAAAAGCTTCTAGAGGTCTTAAAGACAGAAATAAATTACACAGGACAGCGAGAGAGTCTGCGAAAGCTGCTTCACAAGTTGGGATTTCGTTTTAAAAAATCTCAATCCAATTGAAAGGTTCTTATGGAGCGTAATGAAATATCAGCTTGGAGAGCTAAGTACTTGCATGCAGTGGATAAAAATAATAAATCTCCCCAGCCCCGGCCCATAATTTATTTAGATGAGACCTATATTCACTCTTCGCATACATCGGGTAAATGTTGGCAAGGAGACGGTGAAGACGGAGTATTGGAGCCTGTATCGAAAGGGCAAAGATATATTATTGTTCATGCGGGAGGAGATACTGGATTTGTTACAAATGCACTACTTGTGTTTAAATCAAACACAAAAAGTGGTGATTATCATGACGAGATGAATAGTACCAAATTTAAAAAGTGGGTTATGTAGTGGTAGTGGAAAAACTTGTGCCTACTTTACGAGAGCCATCCATAATAGTGATGGATAATGCTCCTTATCACCGTATTTGTGTGAATAAAGTCCCAAATACGAATTCTTTAAAAAAAGATATGCAATTATGGTTGACCCAAAATAAAATTGACTACGGAGAGAATTTGACTAAACCTCAGCTTTTAGAAATAATTAAGAGAAACAAGCCTGAACCTGTATATGAGATTGAAAAATTTTTAGAAGACAATAGACATAAATGCTTATATTTACCACCTTATCACTGTGATCTCAATCCCATTGAACTCATATGGAGCACAATGAAAAGAAAAGTTGCTGATGTAAATATTGAGCACAAAAATGCTGAAATTCCCTGCCTAGTTAGAGAAGCTTTTGACGCTATTACAGTTCATGAGTGGGCACAGCATTGTAAACATGTTCGCAGGTTAGAAGAAGAATATTTAAAACATGATTTGTATTTAGATAAACCTTTTATTATAGAAGTTGTAAGTGAGACTGAAACCGAAAGCGATAGTGATAATGATGATAGTGGTACGGAAATAAGCGGAGTATGGCCTCACAACCAGGATGAAGTTGTGTATGCAGGTTCATTTAAAGATCACAATTACTGTAAACCTGGTTTTCAATAAATTATTATAAAGCAATTTGTTTTTTTTTATTACACTACCACTAGGTACCACTGCTAATTATAATTAGTCAAATCTGGTGTTAGGGGTTAGTTACGGTCATAACTAAATGCTAGACATCCAGGTACCTCTTGCAGGGTAGGTATCTACTTCGCATTAAATGAAAGTTGTATCTCTCCCGTGGAACATTTTATCTGCTGAATTTCCACTTCATTGCATTACTTTTTAGATAAAGCCATTGTTTATTGCTGAGAGACTAAACTGTTAGCGTACCTATGCAACTGTAAATTATCAAATTCTTTTTATTTATTTTATTATTTTTATAGAGGTATCATTATTTTTAATTTGTTTTGTTTTTAATTCTTATTAAACGATTATGCCTAATGTGAAATTTCTTTCTTGAAAACTTACTCAATTTTGGACACCTTATATTAATTAGCAACACTGAATCGACGGTGCCGTCCTCTTTCAGTTCACAGATAAGTTGGTAGGACTGTATATCCCATAATTACGTCACATTCCTATTTACTCACCATACAAAGAATGGATATTACTTAATGAAATAACGATTACCATCAATAATTATGGTTCTCTCTTATATCATTTAAAATTACATTTTATTGTTATTATGAATATTATTATTAGTAATTGGTAAAATGTTGTTCTTTCACTATCAGTTACGGTGATTAGAATTGTATGACTAAGATGCTTAGATGATTATATCATGATAGTTAGAAAAAGAGAACAGGAGGACTAAAGCCTACGATGATGCGGTCCACCTCTATTCGGCTGTTTGACACATTTATAATATTATTAAAACCTTTAAACTATAGCATTTACGCTTCACATGCAAGTTCTTAAATTAAATTACTTAATGTCATACAGGATTCTTTGTAACCATTAGCTAATTTGATTGCAGAATATGATGCTTAATTATGATTAGTTTATATAAGATTACTGACAAAAAAACTTATTTGAACAAGAAGTTAGTTACGAGTATAAACATCGCATGGTATTAGGGTATAGAAAATTTCGATATAATTTCGGGATTCCGCCACAAGAGATAATCATCGACGAAATCCTTTAGATATCCGAGAAAATGAATACTTCTTAAAATATATTGAGGATCCATTCAACTTTTACGAGATGTATAAAAACAAAACATATAAAGAAGTATCTACATTTATTTTATCTAATATTATAAACGTTAAAGTGAATATTTGTTTGTTAAATTTCTTTACCCATAAAATTTTAGTAATAAGTTGTCTGGGCCATCAGATTGACTACATCATCATCCTAGTAGTGTCATTTAAACTAAATAGTTTTAATGAAATCAGTATACACATGAAAGAAAATTGGCCTGTTGGTGTAAGGGTTAGCTATCGTCACTGCTACACTAGAGGTCGGGGGTTCGATTTCCGCTCAGAACAAATAATTGTGTGATGAGCACGATCATTTGTTCTATGTTTGGGTGTATTTTATCATTTACATGTGTCTTTAAAATTTTTAAGTTTGTTTATCAGTAGAATAATGTCAACAAGTCGTTTTGCAAATGAGTAGTAAAATTATCAAACAAATTTACTACTATTATTTATTGTATTTATACTATTATTTAAATTTTAAATGATCAAATAATTTACTGGTAAATTTGGTTATTTGTGTAGAGTACGCGTATCTAACAGTGGAGTCTAAAGCGGCAAATTTTCAGAGCATTGTGAAATGAACTAAGTAATTCTCGCAAAAAGCGCTACTAATACGCGGCCTACCGTTGCACCAGCCCGTAATTCTATATGCATATGACCTCCTCCTGTCAGGATACAATGGTGTGGGTGTTTACTTTAGAGCTCTAAATCGAATAATGGAATGTGTAGGTATAATCAGACTCCGTAGTGGACATCACGAGATCTAGGCCGATACAAAAGTATTCGATTTATGGATAAATGTTATTTGTGTGATGAACAAGCCAATAACACACCCTATGTTCTAAAATCTTTCTCCAGAGCTGATAAACCAAACGGGAATTTTTTAATTCACAAGTGCTGGCAACGTACGTACTGTAGTACTTATCACTGGAATAAATATATTTTTACATCTTTAAATATATTTTTTATTGATATTAAACAACGCAGAATTTTTTAGACTTAATCTAAGCCTTTGCATGTCAAAGACTACATCCACAATTCGTCTGAGTCACATGCACCCTTACTAGGTCAAAAACTCTATCAGTTGAATGTTACTGCATGTCTTTTCAACTTTGACTTACAAAGGTTTAGTTAGCTATTAAAGTATATGTTCTCCGCATGGAAGTATAGTAAGGTAGTATAATATATATGAAAAGTAAATTCAAACTTATAATTTCTCACAGCTTTATTAATAATAATACTAATTAGCATACAGGTTTATGTATATTTACAATACTAAATGTTTTTACTGTCAAGAACATGGCACGTCAGTAGCGTAAAAGTCTAAAATTTAATAATTTATCTACTTTGTCAGCTAATTTTACACGTATAACTACAACCTACTAAACCTAATTTAACCAAACCTATGTATTTACAATTTATATGTACATTGCGTTCTATTACAGTGTAAGGCCTGAGTGACTGGTGCTATTGCACCAAGCGTCCAACGGGGCAGGGCGTACGAGTACGTAGATGTACACGTAGATGTCCTGAGTGGTGGCCGAGCGGTGAGATTAATATCTTTATTTCTGAAGCGTTCACTTGCATGCACTATTCTGAAAAACAAAACATGTTGTATTAGAACCAAAAATAAATAAACTTAGTAGGTATGCCTTACGATAAAAGCTTATTTCAACTAATAAAACAATGTATTTCTAAATACCATCTGCGTTTATTCCATATTCAATTTGGATGTCGATGCTAAAATGCTCCCTTTTACTAACTACTAACTACGGACCTATAGTTAAAAATTTATAACAGGAGTCAACGTGAAGCACCTTTGGTGAAATATAAATTTTAAACCTACAATCATAAACGAACATGTCATTTTAATTTAGGACTATTAATAAAATGTCTTTAATAAGGGGTGGACCACTAGCTACTTTAAAAGTAAAGTTAAAAACCAAAAATTTACCTTATTGATGTTAAGATTTCTTGCATGAAGGACAATACCAGTCTCCGTCCGGTACAGCAGAAATCCCTACGCAAGGGAAATGGTACCACTTCCACGGGCAGTTCGCCGCATCGCACCCTATCATAGGTGCATCTGAGACGTATACTCCGCAGTAGCAGTACTCATAGGATCTTGTATCTTGTTCCTCTTCAAAATGTTCCTCCGTCCACTCTACTGGCAGCACGTGGCATTTGTGGACAGCAAACTTCCACTGTTTTACGGGACACCTGCTGCAGCTGGTACTCTCAGTACCATGGCGCCAATATAGATGTTCTAGTAATACTTTATAACCTGCAAAAGTCATAAGACACTGGCCACACTTGAAAACAATTTCTAACGTGGAGGTGTTCATGTTTGCGAATTATAAATTATCTTCTTTCCAAAACTACTGTGAGCGGAATAATTTAAAAATGAACTAGACCTTCATTATATAGGTGGCTGCTAGTGGAGGTTAAGTGGGGATGGTATTCAGGTACTCTCATTACTAGGTGGTAAAGAGCTTAACGGACGTTATCTAAATTGCACAATAAAGGTTCATTTGTTTATGTTAAGGTAGTTAGAATTGAATAGAATTGGTTAGTGCGTTAATGGCCATTAACGTTATCGATCTTCTT